ATCTCCAGTCTCTCTTATCATCTGATACTTATCACAATACGGCGATTGTTGCATTACAAGAAACATGGCTCCATGAACTCTATGATGACAATCTGGTTTCCCTAAATGGTTTTACATTGTTTAGACAAGATCGACTATGCTCCAGAAAGAAAAGAGGTGGAGGTGTTGCAACTTTCATTCATTCTCAATGGTCAACTTCAAATAATGTATGTTTTTCTTACTCTAATGACTTTATTGATTGTATAACGGTCAAATGCCGCCCGAAACACTTATCCAAATTCAAATACGTCTTCATCTCTAACATTTATGTTACTCCTGGCTGTTCTGCATCTGATCTATCTGATTTTGCTGATGAATTCACTGAATTCGCCGTTACACATCTTGAAAACTCTTTATCAGTTGTCACAGGAGATTTTAACTGCTGTGATTGTTCTTTCCTCGTATCATTAGGTCATGCCAATATTGTTAAATTCCCTACTCGACTTGATAAAACCCTTGACCTGGTGTTCATTAATGATGAGGAAATATATGAAGTACGCCGACGTGCTCCTATCATGAACTCAGATCATTGTATTATTCGGATATTACCTAAGATATACAGCAGATCTCACTTTAATATCTTCTCAAATCTGTCCAAGAAAACACAGCAAAGGTGTTACTCACAAGAAAATATGCTCAAACTAAGATGTATGCTAAATGACACTAACTGGGAACTTTTCAACGAACACAAACTGGATGATACTATTTCCAATTTGACTGACTATCTTAAATTCTGTCTTGATATATGCTGTCCAAAACAGATAATTTTCAAAAGAATGGATCGTTTTTCTTCCCCTCATCTCAAAAAACTTCGTAGAGAAAAAGAGAAGCTGTACAAGACAAAGAATAAATCTGGTCTTAAGAAGATAAACACCCAAATTAAATCTGAAATCAAGAGACTAAACAACATTTATAATCAAACAATACTATCTTGTAAAACCTCAGAAAACATATGGAAGCTTTTTAGAGAAATTACTGGTTGTGGTAAGCATAATAATTTTGCCTCTTCTATTGATGTAAATACTCTCAATAGATCTTTCATCCGCCCTCCAAATGTCCTTTCTGCCTTCAATTTAACTAATAACACGACCAGTGACTTTCATCGTTTCAATACTTCTGATGTTCTTAAATGTTTGAAATCTCTTAAACCTTCCCAGAGTCTAGGCCCTGATGGTATACCTGCCATTGTTTTAAAGAAATGTGCTGATATTTTAAGTAACCCACTTACAAGCATTTTCAATACTTCTTTTTCTAATAATAATGTACCTTCTCTGTGGAAAGATATTAAAATCATCCCTGTACCCAAGTCTGGTTCTGGAGATAGTGTTAAGTTTAGACCAATTGCCATTACCTCTCCTTTTTGAAACTGATGGAGAAATTACTGTTACAAAAACTCATTCCCTCCCTAAGCTTCTCAAACGATCCAAAGCAGTTTGCTTACAAACAGGGTAGAAGTACTTTGGATGCTGCTGCTGTGTTTCATCACAACATTGTATCCTCCTTAGACAAAGGGGCCAAGTATGTCCGTTGTACTTTCCTTGATTACACATCTGCTTTTGACTCTGTACCTAGAGGCCTTTTGTTAAACAAGCTTAGCCTTACACAAACTGAGTCCTGGGCTATCAACTGGCTGCACTCTTACTTCTCCAATAGGATGCAGTACACGGTATATAATGGTGTAGCTTCCTCTCCTTTGCTTACTGAAGCTGGTGTTCCTCAGGGTGCTGTTCTCTCGCCGTTTCTCTTTTCCTTCTTCTTACATGACTTACCTCTCTCAGACGAAATCAACTTCGTCAAATATGCAGATGACCTGACTGTTTCGCTTCCCGTTAAGTCTCAGTCAGACTGCTTCAAATTAAATAGCTTCCTGTCGGACATCAGTCAGTGGTCTAAAATAAATGGCCTAACGCTGAATCCCTCAAAATGCCAGACTGTCGACTTCTCCTTTAGGCATAAACGAGATCTACAAACACTAGTAAGCACTCATGATGTCTGTAGAATTGAGGGGACTATAATTGAAACAAAGTCTAATGCAAAATACCTCGGATTAGTTATATCTTCCGACCTTACTTGGTCATCTCATATCCAAATGATTTCCAAGAAAGTGTTTCGTCTAACCTACTACATTAAGAAACTCAGACTAACTGGAGTCCCTCAACCTCTGCTTACACAATTTGTCAACTCTCGTATCCTACCTATTCTACTTTACTGTTCCCCGTTAGTCTTTCCTGGGTTACTGAAAAAGGATTATACCATCCTGAGAAGGATGTTGAAGGTAGTTAGTAGGACTAGCGGTGTAAAACTCAGTCAGCTCGTCACAACATTAGTGGATAAGCATCTGAATACATGTGAGAAATGGTCTAAAACCATACTCTCTGACCCCCAACACCCCCTCTATTCCCAACTCTCTCCCTGCATCTCATCAGGTAGAACCAGAAATCAGTATAAAATAATATATGCTCGCACAACCAAGTATAGGAACTCAACGATACCATATTTGGCCCGTGTTCTAAGTGACAGAGACAATGTTAGGCGTGAAACCTATGACTTGCTTTGTTGTTAATAACATAATTTTGGCCCTTGTTATTTCCCCCTTACACTCTCTTATTTGTACTCTATAGTGAACAACCTTCTTAAACATACTTAGCTGCTTAAAATTATTATCATTGGCTTACATTTTTATTCTTTATTCTATTCCTTCTTTGTACATCTACTGGGTCCGACTATATTATCACTATGATTATTAAAAATTGTCCCGTCATTAACCATCATGTAACATTAGTTTTGTGGTTGTTCTTTGTTCGGCACTATTTAACTGACAATCTTGTTTGTTATTGCCACTATCACCATCTTAAAAATTTTGTATTATGCATGATTCCTCACACTACCACTACAAACAACCGCATTAGTACTGACAATAAAAAAAAACAACCTGAAATGTTTATCTTATGATTGCTTAGTGTTGTTCAATCAAATTAACTGATCATCTTGGCTATAAACATTTTTTAAGAACATCTCATAATTTCCCGTATGATTATAGCTGTTACTGTTCACCACGCATACACATATCGTAGCTTCCACTAACCAATACTGAAATATTTTTTCATTATTTGTGTTGATCTTCTTTTTTACTCGGTATTTTTATTTGCATTTTTTTGGTTATTTCTGTGTTTCTTTTTTTGGTTTTTTTTATATATTTTATTTTTTTATAATACTCCTTTTAAATGTACGATGAAATTAGATGCAATATTGTAGATATGTGCTGAAAATTCCACACTGTACCACAAGTACTGTTTCTGGAATAAAGCGAAATTGTTAAAAAAAAGTCAACAGCACTCAGCATTAAAAATAAGATCCGGATTTTCAACTCCAGTGTGAAGTCAGTGCTAATATATGGATCAAAGACTTAACGCGTCATAAAAAGCATCTCAAACAAAATACAGACCTTCGTCAACAGTTGTCTTCGCTCAGTACTCAAGATCAGATGGCCGGCTAGAAAAGATCAGCAACAAAGATCTCTGGCAATGAGCGAACCAACCAGGAACCGATTGCGAAACAAATAGGCAGGAAGAAATGGAGATGGACTGGCCATATACTGAGGAAACCATCAAGCGACATCACTGGACAAGCCCTTGATCGAGTGGAACGCTGAAAGGGAAGCGGCGAGTTGATCGTCAGTGACAGAGTGGGGTGACTTGGAGGAGGTCATGTGAGGAGGAGATGAAAGCACATGGTCAGACTTGGAGCGGGGTGAAAAAGTTGGCAGAAAACAGAAGGCAACTGAGGTGCGCAGCTGAAACCCTACGTTCCTCTAGGAATTAAAGGATAAAATAATAATTATATTTAATGTACACGTTCTCCATAGTTTTTCTCGTCAGGCATCCATTTTTAAAATAGACTATTTTACTTTCACTAGTTGATGTTTATCAAATGGAGTAAATCATCTGCTCTCTCATAAATCATTTATTATATTTACAGCGTTTGCATCGGCCTGGAACACAGGGCTTCAACAGCATATCTACTTTTCATTCCGTTTTCTCTAGTCCTCTTTAGCTGGCTGTACTAAAGACCAAAACCTCTCATCACTCCATCGCCGTCCATGTCAGCCTCGAATTCACATATAACCCACCGTTTCTCATTCAGATTCTACCTGTGCGGTGCACGAGCGCGCGATGCCTCAATACTTAGTTTAGTGTATTCAAAACGGAAATACGTTTTTAATCAGATAGCTCACTGCACTGGAGTATATAGCTCCACATGAAAAATAGATATTTTCCTGTTGAAACTCATAAACAAGTGTGAATCACTTCTGTTATGATAGTAGTAATTATTAATAATACTATTGCTTTCGTATTTGCAAGAAACTTCACCTGCGCTTAAATAAGATTTCTGGTCTAATTTCAGAGGACAAAATGATGTCTATTTCTTTCACGCATAATCGAAGCAGGATGTGACTCTACATTCTTTGCGGAAGAAGGTATACAGTGTGAGAACTACTCTACATGTATCGCTTTTACTTGAGGGTGGCAAGAATAACAAAATGAAATGGATCATCAATTATGAGGAAGCTGTAGTCCAAAATTCCCTCAAGCTCCTAATATAACTCACTGTATATCAATTCAAAGTACGAGAAAAGATGGAAAACGACAAAGCCAGTTATGATGGAGTTTATACTGACGATGTTACTTTCATGAACGAGTATACAGCTTGAGGTGATGATGCTTCCTCACGAACACACCAGTATACAACGTGATATAATGAGTGGGAATCTGTTAATAAGTAGATTCGTTCATTGAATTTAAAGGGTATTCACTGATCCAGTTTCGCTTCTTATTTCCATAAGTTCTGATTTTGTCACAAATTTGAAACTCAAGTTACATTCAAGATTTATTTAAAAAGCTTTATTTTAACCTCACCTACATGTCACTGAATATTCACATTGGTTCGACATTGTTGACTATCTGCTTCAAATACATACTGATTCAACGGTTTCTTCAATTGAACATATCGACTTGTACTACTGAGAAACGTAAGCAAGTATTGAAATTCTGTCAATGACAAAAACCAAGAACCCAAGAAAATCACTAATCATTACTTTCCGTAGGAATCACTGTACAGAAATCAAAGGGAAAAAGCCATAATAAAAACATTTATTTGTTCAAAAGCTAGAAATATAATCTGTCCCTCGCTGATTCAGAATGCAAACTACGTGTTTAAACAAAATGTGAATTACGACGATAATTTTCAGGAAGATGCGAGAGAATCAAATGAAATCAAATTTATTTCAGAGAACTGGCGAAATCCAGAGCGGCCTGCAAGAAACAAAATAAAACTTACGACATCATGTCCGTTTGTTGATTTTTTGAGTGGATAACAATTTGTGATTCACGTTTGTGAATGAAATCATCAGTGAAAATTAAATGAAATATGGATAGCGACCAAATTATGTGGACATGTCATCATATACTTTAACTCACTTCCGTAAGCTCTAATGTTTGAAAAGAATTCGCACCTCGAAAAGAAAATAAAGCCAGCGCAGAATTCTTTCAAAAATTCAAAGCAAACTTGTGAACTTACCAAAACTAAAGAAGTGTTCCAAAAGCCAGCAACCAGGTAAATTAAAATTCCCTGAAATATGATGAATTAAATTATATTCATAATGTTCATCAGTTTTCAATGCTCAAGAAATACATAATTCAATTCGTAGTTATTGAGCAGTAAAATTAAATGCCGTCAAATTCGAGAATGTTAAAAGGTGTGAATGTTTAAAGAGAGAGTTTTCTTACAAATTCATCGAAGCAGTGAAATGAATTACGGATTACAGCAATGACTCATTTTATCAGAATTTCAGATCACATGTCTCACTATTATCTAATACAGTGTTTTCGCATTATTACAGTTTCGCAAAGAATCGCGAGAATGTTTTGCAGATGGGTGAATTAACCCAGATAATTGGATTTATGTACAAGTACCAACCAAATTTATGTTTGACATCAGGTATACTGAGATAATTAAAGGACAGAAATTATATTCGATTAATGATAATGTTAAAAATAATTCTAGTGATAAAAAAAATAAATGTTGAAATGAGCATTGACATTTAACATTTCATCCAGCTCACTTGCTTCCGCCCTAGGGCAAGCAAAACCCATCCAGTAGTCATAAAAGCCATCGATAAGTACAGCAGAACTATGCTCACTGCTGGTTTGAATCTTCTTGTCAAGATGCAGAAGATTATTGTCAGCACGTCTTCTAGAACAATGAAGCCCAATAAAATAAAACATTCTGATCCAAGCTCTTTGCAACAGACAAAGCAGATATTCGCAGAGAATAGTACAATCTGTTGGCAAATGAATATGAAAGAAGGAATCTTAAGTGCATTTTATTCAAGAACAGTTATTATTAGAGTTTTAGCAATATATATCACAATGAAATCAGCTGCAGGAAGACTATCCAAACAGTCTGGATAATTACGTACTTGCCAGTTTACCGTCTAAATGAGATGATGTAGAACTTGCAGTCAAATAAAGATCTGATAAAGACATCATGAGAACTTTTCATGCTACAAAGCGCGTGTTCCTTCACATTACGAAGAGTGTATGGAAGACCATCAGCGAATCTTCGACTTTTCAGACTGGGAATATCAATTCGAGTGTTTGCGGACCCAACTACTTATGTAGTACGAAATGACGATTATCCACTCGAATAATGGCACATTTTCCAGAGTGACTGAAAGCAGTTGCGGTGAGACTACTAAAAAGTGCAGCAACAAAGCATCTTGTTGACTAGTGATATGAAACTGATGCAGTTAAGTCATTCACTATTGTCAGCTGTGAAGCAAACACCGGAATACCCACAAATACTGAGGCGTGTGCCATTAGAGTTCATAGACCAAGTCTTTTTTGTGCAGAAATTTGAAATTGCCATGGTAATAAGCCTTACTTATTAACTGTTATTATTATTATTATTGTATCCTTTAGTTCCTAGAGGAACATAGGGCTTCAGCTGCGCACCTCCATTGACTTCGGTTTTCTGACAACTTTTTCACCCTGCTCCAGGTATGTCCACATGCTTTCATCTCCTCCTCGCATGACCTCCTCCAAGTCACCCTTGGACGACCAACTCGCCGCCTCCCTTTCGGGTTCCACTCGAGGGCTTGTCTAGTGATGTCACTTGATGGTTTCCTCAGCGTATGGCCAATCCATCTCTATTTCTTTCTGCCTATTTGTTTCACAATCGGTTCCTGATTGGTTATTTATAATTGTTATTTATTATAATTGTTTTATTCCTGATAGCATTCTGCTTCATTATTGCTACTATCCTCCATTCACTTAAAACTACCCATTGTTACTATTGCAAACCTAACTCATTTACGTATTCATATTATTATTATCACTACTATCAGAATCGCTATCATTAGGCTTGCGATTCTACCGAAATGTGATTATTTCAATAAATTTTGCTTTACTATCGTTTGTTACTTGCCTTACTCTAATCTGTTTTGAGTGCGCTGGAAAAACAAAACACAGAATGATCTTACGGAAAAAGAGGTCGACTCAAAAACGTGATACTCTGAAACACTTACTATTATTCCTATGAGGAACAATGAAATTTTCAAATTGTTCCTGAATGTGAAGATGGGTATTATACACAGGATCATAATCAGCACTCTGGAATACAGAAAACAGAAAATGACTACTAGATTTCAGAAGCCGAAACATGGTTATTCGTGAAAAGAAATTTAATGCTGTGATGGTGTGTGGTTTTAAGTTACATTTTGTTATCAAAAGGAGAAAGAGCACTATTAAATGGATGCAGTTTGAAACGAAAATGATTACGCACACCTTCGCAGCTAAAGGCTTTTATTTGCCTTTGGACGTGTTTATTGTAGAGTAAGCAGTAACGTGCACATATGCGGAACTGTTGTGGAACTAACATACACTCACACATCAGATTTCATAAGCATTTCATTGCCCTGGTTGACAGTTTGTTGGTTTCAAGGGTAATTGAAAATCAGATGAATTCGATCGAGGGACACTGTGAGAATATTTAATATCCTTTCTCCATAAATTTCAATTTGTTTCATTTCGTCAGGTATCTGTATGACCAACCAAACCGATGAATCATCATCATTTGAACTTATCTCCTGTTTGCCCACTCACACACATTGAGAAACCGAGGTTTGTCATAATTATTTTTTTATTATGATTGCTCCCTTGGGTTCCTAGTGGAACATAGGGCTTCAACTGCACGTCTCCACTTGCTTCTGTCTTTTGCTGTACTTTTCATCTGCATCCATGTTAGTCCATACTCTTTCAACTCCTCTTCACAAGATCTCCTCCATGTCGCCCTTGCAGTGACGACCAACTCGCCGCTTCCCTTTCAGTTTCCACTCGAGGGCTTGGCGCGCGATGTCACCCAGCGGTCTCCTCAGCGAGTGTCCGATCCATCTACACTTTCTCCTGCATATTTGTTGGGCGGCGGTTGGTTCTTGTTTTGTTTGCTCCCATAGTTCCTTGTTGGTGATTCTTTCCGGCCCGGCCATCTGATCTTCAGTATAGAGCGAAGACAGTTGTTAATAAGGGTCTGTAACCTTTTGGAAATATTCCTTGTGACCCACCCGCCAAGTTTCTGATCCGTATAGAAGAACTGACTGACCTGACGTTTCTATTGAAAATCAGACCGAATATTGTTGTTGATGCTGGCTGAGTGACGAAGATTTCCAGATTGGTTTCAGGTCGATGAATGTGTTTCTCGCCTTCCAGATTCTCGCTCGATTTGACATCCTCGTCCGTTCCTTCGTTCCTGTAGTTGAGACAATCCTCCCTAGATAAGTGAGTGAAGTAACCTCTTTCAAATCCCTCCCATTGATGGTGATTGACGCTGGATCTTGCTGCTGCTGTTGTTGTTGTTGGCTTGTTATTTTCATCACCTCCGTCTTGTCTATGTTCACTTGGAGTCCTGTCTTCGCCGGCTGCTTCTTCGACCAGTTTGTCGGTTTTCGCTTGTAAGTCTTCCATTTTGTGTGACATCAAACATAAATCATCCACGCACGAAATTCAGGTCCTCTAGGTTCCTCGCGTCGGTCCAGACAGGATACTCCTGTCTTCTCGTTTCCCACAGTCTGACGCATAATCCAGTCAGTCCACCACAATTAGGAATATCATTGTGGGTGATAATAAGCACCTTTGTCTGACTCCTGTGTTTACTCCGAACGCCTCGCTGAGTTTTCCCCCGTGCGGATCACTTGACATGTGCCGTTGTCGTACAGCTGTTGAATAAGGTTGATGAATATTTGGGGCATTGTACGCCGTAGTACTCGAGTAGTTTCCAAATTAATTCACGGTCAACGCTGTTGAAGGAGTTTTCAAAGTCTATAAAGTTGAGGTAGAGGTTTGATCGCAATTCCATGCTTTGTCCTGTGATGATGATGCGTAGAGTTGCAATTTGGTCAGTGCATGATTGACCAAAATTGCAACAGTATTGAGATTCACTCAATTTTTGCAGGCCGCCATGCAATTATGTTCATGGTGGCTCAAAAATAACAAAATAGATAATTGGGTTTTCCTCGCCTAGATTACTAGCTGGCTAAATTACTAGCGCACTAGTTTTCTTGCCAGTCCCAAGCCCGGATAAAGGGGGAGGGTTGGGGTGTGGTGCTAGCAACTCCACCCCCATAAAACAACCAAATCGCTACAGAAACTTCAATGCCCAAATTTGTCATAACTACTGAATGTAATATTCCCCTGATTTTACCACATAACTTCACTTTTCTGCCTAGCGTTTTGTTGGCAACACTGATGCACGGTGTCTTTTTCTCTGAAGACAAATACTCGAAACAGTCTTCATTCCACAGACATTTCAGTGCACATAAAAGCTAAATCAGTTAAGGACAAGTCATTTGGCGTTCAGCTCGAATACCAAAACTCCAAAATGATCAATATTTCTTGAATAATCAATCACTAATAAGGTGATACTAAAAAGCACATATCGTACATACATAATTTCAAATTCTTGCCTGGAACCAATGGGACTCTTGGTAGCTTTAGTTACCTACAACTGATGAGTCTGATTCTCGAGGTTATAATCACCAGTTAACACAAACGCTATTTACATTTAATAACTAATAAGGACATATATTCCAAAGATCGCGGAAATCAACAGTTCTTACATGCAAGTGATTGTGGCATACCCCCGCCAGCCAAAGCCAGAATTTTCACCCACCTGAATTAGAAAAAATACATTCCATATCATTTGTAATTCCAATAAGATTTTCTAGTCACTCGAGCCAGCAAATTCACACAACAGTTATGAAATTATCGTTACAAATGCACAGAACATTGAAGTGAGACAATTATGCTTAACATCACTCTATGAATATTTGATGCAGAAAAATTTGACTTCAAGCAACAGTTCAGATATTCAATGAGTGGGGTTTCGATTAAATAAATATGAAAAATTAAAATGACGTGAAGAACCAGATTCTCTGTCGCAGTGATAACTCCCTGATATTACGATGACTGTTCGATATTCAGATCAAGCATTAAACCTCATAAATTATCAAATAATGAAATTCGAAATAGGAAGATTGCAGGGGAGCGAAAGACACATGAAAAGAATAAAATTTCTTACCCGCAAAGAATCAGCCATCGTACACCAGATGTTATAGAATGGACTTAGATAAAATCTCATTTATTGGTTGAATATATATCCATCTCATTTTTCATACTTTGATTCATAGTTGTTTACATTCATAGTCGCGTTTATTCAGTGATCACAAAGGTTTCAATTAACGTGTAATTTTGTTTTATTTGTGTTCATAATCATATCATCTATTGAGTGTTCAACAAATAATTTAAATCACAACTGAAAATATTTTCTATCGAATCATGTGATTTTATTTTGTGAAAAGTGATAAATTTGTAGAATTATGAAATATGACACAGTAAAAAAGGTTTTGATGAAAACCTTGATATGTATGATGATCTTGTGCCTGGTCGTCAAAACGTGATCTTTTACTAGGTTCATATCAGGTACTTTAATGAACAGTGTGATCCACACTCTGTGGCGATTATGTGATACAGTGTGACATATTGCAGTGTGTAGTAACATGACATCTCGAAGAGATTGAATATGGTTTTTGTAGGAAGGCGTCAACAGAATCTCTTGGCACCATTAAAATGTAACACTTTCCGGGAAATGTTTCAACCCTTTATGTAACTAAGGAATATGGAAGATATTACTAACATTCAATTCAAGAGATGAGAAAATATTGAATCATGGTAATGAGATTGAAAGTTATGTGAGTAACCTGATATGATTATAAGCAGTAAATTGTTTGAAACGTAATCATCAGTGAATATTACTGTTTAACGCTGTGAACGTTTATCCGATAAACTCGGTCTCTATTCTGCTTGAAACAACACACGAATAACTTTCAATTTTATGTTGGCGATCACGCTTAAGTGTTGATATCGATCTCGAACAGCGATCTGAGTATCACTGAAATTTGTAAAATCTCAGCAAAATTGAAATGATTAATTCCTACATTTCGTTCGGCAATCCGGTCCGAACATCATCAGTGAAATTAATTGAAATGAACAAAACAACTACTTGTTAAATGTACAACGAATGTCCAGTTCCTGCTTAATAATGAAATATACAGACAGGTTGATTGAGTAGCCATGGGTTTCCCACTGGGACCTATTTTCGCGAATATATTTCTAGCAAAACTAGAAAATAGTCCGTTGAAAGAGGACATAGCGAAAATGGAAATGTATTGTCGTTACATGGATAACACTTTTATAGTGTACGATGAATGGCTAATTTGTGATTTGATTTTGAACAACTTCAACAATGCTCACCCGGCGATCCATTTCACCTACGAAGGAGAATACAACGACTCTCTACACTTCCTCGACGTCTTACTTACGAGAAGAGAGTATGGTTCCGTCAAAAGAAGCATATTTAGAAAGCTAGAGAACAAAGCTCAGTATACACATTTCCTTAGCTTCGTACCGATGAAATACAAACGTAATCTAATCAGGTGCTTAGCATTTAGAGCGAGGTCTATTTGTTCTGAAGAATGCGTAGAGAAAGAACTCCAGATCATCCGAGACATTCTAAGCGAGAACGGACATCTAGAGAAGTTCATGAAATGCAATATAGGTTACAATAGTCGTAAACATGAACTGCCAACGGTGGAAAAAGCCTTTGTTTTTACGTCTCCAATTCAAGAGAGATACTCCTGCGGAGATTCGATCGCAACGTTTAACCAGGGCGATCAAGAAAACTTTCCACTTTGCATGTCTGTGTCCTTCCTTCACTAGCCATCCAATGTTCATCCAGCAACTCAAAGATGTCTTACCCAACCTTAGCTCTTCTTCATGCGTATAACATTTCAACTGTTCCTCTGGTTCTAGTTTTATAGGGCGCGCGATTAGACAGGTTCGTCTACGGGTTCGCGAACATTTATCAGCTTGGTTCAGCACGGGAAAATTGAGTGCATAAAAAGCTCGATCCTGTCACACTTGGTCGGTACTGGACATTGTATCGATGTCAACACAGCTTTCAGGGTTATATACCAGGTTCCGAAGTCGTTATCACGTACAGTTCGCTTACGTCTCCTGTTATTGCAATAAGGTCGACTAAACCGGAACCTTGTATCCAAAAAGAACACGTTCAGACGGTGTTCCTACCGTGGCCAATATGGGATTGATGATCCCTCTTCTCACCAAGAGTGCTCCTTCCCCTAAACCCTTTTGTTTTTTTCATTTGCTTATTATTCCGAATATTATTGTTATAATGATTATTATTATTCATCATAATTTATGCCCTTCATGGAAACATTCCCTCAATACTATCGATATTATCTGTTTCTTCAATATATGCCTCCACTTGTTTCATTTCACACATTCGTCATTTCATTGTGAACCAACTCTCGTTGCAGTCTTACTATCTCCTCCTCTTTGATACATACTACTTTGTACTAGTCCTTCACCTGACACCTTCTACAACCTTGTACTGACCTGTGAATTTTCCTACCCCACACTCTACAAACCTATTATGATTAATCACCACCACTGTCTCCCATTTCACAATATTTTCTAATCGATTTCAGCCTATCACGTTTGCTCACAAATATGACTATTTATTTTGACACCCCATAACTAATCTGTTATTCTACGTTAAGAATGTATCCGCGGCATAACTGGCCTTTATTGTAACGACAGTAAATATTGTATTTTATAATTCTAAGAACCTGAAGAGAAATTATTGAAAAGAATATTCTCCGTTCAGATTGACTTTTAATTCATGATAAGAGATTTATGTATATAAGACATTTTTGTTTTAAAACCTTTGTCCAATCATATGAGTCATGAAACAGGTAATAACAAGTATAATAAACCAAATTGTATGAACTGTGATCAAAATTTGAACTCAGATACGTGGATGATACATTAGGCGTAATCGGACGTAGTTTTTTGAATGAACTTTTTCATTTAATAAACAATATGTCAGAAACCATCAAGTTTTCTAACTAGGTTGAAACTGACGAGAAGGATTTTGTTTCCGTGGTCTGATTAACAGAGCCAACGTCTAGTTACTGAGGAGGAAGTGATTATCAAGGAACTTAAATTGATTCAATCCACTCTTTAATCAAATAAATATCCTGAAGACTTCATAACAAGATATTTAAAATGTGAAGATAAGGATGGATCGAAACCTGTTGCTAAGAATTTCGGTTAGTAAAGCGGTGATTCCTTACCGCAAAGAAACATAGGATGAGATAATGCGAATTCTTAACGATCGTGACATAAGAGTGTATTTGTCGTGCTACTAACACCGTAGAAGAGTAAAACCAACAGAAATGTGTGCACTAGATCAATTGTGGGGATTTCGACATCGTATATGTAGGGAAAACTTCTAGACAGGTAAATATAAGAGTGAAAGAGCATAAATAATATCTTAAGGTTATTCCAAGGACCTCTGCAGACTTAAAGAATCGAGAAAACGGATCAGCGATTGCACTGCATTCTATAGAAATAGGATAGAAAGTCGACTTTAATAGAATTAGGATTAAACAGAAAGGTTTTGGTTTGTATGAAGAAAGATTGGTTTTGGATGCTCTACATAAATGCGTGAACAGACGTAGTGGAATGCTGGCTAATGCATCGTAAACATTGATTAATTTATAAAAATGGATATGTATCACTAATTAATCATACCTGGTCGGAATTCCTGAGTGTATATATATATATATTCTTGTGGAGAGCCATATAAATATTTTACAACTGTTTACTCATACACACATACACACACACCATCGTCTACCCCATATACACATATATTTTCATATTCAGTATTCTACGACCACGAACGTGTAGTCAAACGTGATATGATAAAAGGTACACTCTATTTAAAGTGTTTAACAAAAGTAGACTTATATATATATATGTATAATATATAATAGATTGAAGTCACATTTTGATCACATTTCATTCAATTTTTATTATACTTGTTAATACCTGTTTCATGACTCATATCATTGGACAAAGTTTTTAAAACACAAGATGTCTTTTTATATATAAACCTCTGTTATGTTCATTTCAATTAATTTCCCTGAAGATGTTTGGACCGCATTGCCAAACGGAACGTTGGAATTATTTATTTCAATTTCGCGGAGATTATACAATTATAATTTTTACAAATGCCTACTTCTCACTCGATGCTTGATTATTGTGAAAATATTTGGTGAAATCTTGATCGCAGTTCATACGGATATCCTTGAAGATTTTCTTGAATAAGGAGTCAATAATTCGCAATTCTGTTTAATTTTCTTCTCTCGAAGAATCAACAGATATGAAAATAATAGGAACGCATATGAACGTGCATCAACTATTGTGACACCTTATTTTTTTATGACCTAATAATCATCTGTCAACTTCATTTATCGGTAATTGTCTATTCAGCAGCACTTCTGCAGACATTTTTATGTAGTCCATAAAGCAAGCAAAATTTCAGCGGACTCAGCACATATCTTGGCGCTTGTACATAAGACATGAAAGATATTTTTACGGCTGATGTTTGTTCTCCCATTTCCTAGGATTTATTATTCACACAAGGTACACCTACACATCTCGTTAAACCTTAGCTACACCCATCAAACAATACAGTTCGACAACAGCTCTCATTATTGATTCAGGAAGGTCGCGTAAATTACTGAAGCAGTTACCATTGTTAAATACGCACTCAATAAGAAGACATATAGTTGTGAAAAGGACAGAGATTGCTATCTCCCTACTCTTACCTATTGGCCTGGTGTTGTTGTCGACAAATCATACTTCAGCTAACTTTTTTGATCATAGTGTCCAATTCGCTGATTTTGGAGAACGACTTGATGAGCGAAAATGCTTTCTGATCATTGCTGTATATGCAGCCTAATCAAAAGAAATCTGATGAAATATATTCACCTTAAATATACATATATAATTATGCGTATTTTGTCCTCCTGTAATTACTTTTGTCGACTCACCGGAAACGTAGTCTGAATTTTTATTAGCTGAAATCGCATGATAATTTTATTCAACATTTGGCTGACTCACATTTCTCATTGAAATTTAACGTTATGCATGTTAGAATGATGACAGACAAGATCTAAAAAAAACCAGTAATGTACCATTTTACCCTCAAGTATTTCATTCAATAAACTAGCCTTTAACATTTAGTGAGAATAAATGGGGTAACTCGGTCACCTAACGTTCATGCATGCAATACGGCCAGCTTTGCAGAGGTCACCGATCCGCATTTCTGATCGCGAAATGAATTTAGTATTCCAAACATTTACATGGTAAACGCATGACAGGTACATTAGACGTTGGATAATATATATCAGCATTTGCATAAAAATAGTTCTGCGACACATATAAAACCTTCTGCATTTAAGAATCCTGAATATAGAGAAAATATTATGGCATGGTTTACGCTGAAAATTATGCATATTGTGCAAACATATTTTGCATAATGAAGCTATTGTCATTATTATTAAACCGTCAACAAAACTTTCTTCATCGTACAAAAACACCATATG